AATACAAAGGCTGGGACCTCATTTAATTAGGATCCTGTGTCCTTATAGGATACCTTTTCCTTTTGTTTTTGAACACTTTACTACTTCCCAGTATTATAAGAAATTCTAAGGGATTGCTGTCTTCTGGTCTTGAAGAATAGTATTAAAATAGAAAATCGTGAGGTTGGATATATGTGTTGTTAATGGGATATAAGACCTTTTCGTACCTCTCAACTAACTGGCCTAGAAAATGTGAATGTATATATTAACCCATGTTTACAGTCATATCTAAGCTGTGCATCTAATCTTGTGAACTTATATTACATTAAAAATGAGAACACGCTTATATCTCCACCCAAGAAAGATACCACATGAACATTTACAGCCTGATTGCCTTGACTGTCAATCGCCACCCACTGCAAAGTGAGGAACCCCATCTCACCATATGCCATTGTATTACATTTCTTCACAGTTTCAGGAACCATGCAAAGCAGAATTTTAGGAACCATGCATAGCAGTAGCAAAACTGTGAAGCTGTACCCCAGTTGGAAACATGTTTACCTACTAGAATACAGTGCTTATGTGTGGTGAACTTATAGTTCAGAGTTTCAGAATTCCCCCATTTCCAAAGCTATTTAGGTCAAAGCCTATGTTCTGCTTTATTCAATGAAGTATTTTTATCCAATTTGTTGTATGCATTTTATGCCAAACATGCAAACCTACTAGCATGTTCGCTGTAATCCAATACTACTTGGACATTTCTCACTTTTCTTCCTTGCTGTCTGTAACCTCCTGCTCCAGCTGTGAGAACTCCCTCCCAACACACAACATCCGTTCCCTTTTTTGTTTAATTCCAGGATTCCTGTAGCGTGGAGGTAAGCTGTGCTGCTTTGTGGAACATCATCATCAACTACAGGACAGTGCTGGCATGCAGTTTGTTTCTTAGTCTTACTGACTTTATTCTTTCTAAAGCTATTTAGCACCTTTTTTTATTTGGTCAACTTGTTTCATATATCTGTAAAGGGCATTAAATATTTTCGGTATAGTCTGCATTTCATCTTTGGGTCCCTAATCTCTTACTCACTTTTAATTTTTTGTAAAATGAAAGAATACCACCACAACATTAAAATTTAGCTGTAAGAACATGTAATGCTTCCATGTACCACACAGTATATTCTCACCAGTTTAGTTAATATGGATTACATATGACAGTGTGGCAATGTACAAACTCTATCTGAGAAGGAAAATAGGAGAAAAATGTTAAGGAAAAGAGAGCAATTTGAAGCCACTGACACCAACAACTTCTGCACCAATAAAATGATATCACCTTCATTACTCTCAAATTTACTTTGCATGGGACATCTGCAGTTCCAACATGAGACCAGTGAATTCAATCTGCATGTCCTTCCCAGGTCTCCACTTGCATTTTGTTTTCTTTATTTCTGTTTGCAGAAAGACACAAACTCAACCTTAGTGCCAGGGTAGGGAGAGTTTCCCATGAAATGGATACCAGAAAAAAATGGCAAACATGGGACTCATTAATGTAAAAATTAGCCACAATGTATATGTGTGTGTGCGTGTGTATCTGTGTGCCTAAGTGTGAGTGTGTGGGTGTTTGTGTGTGTGATTTGAACAGTTGCATCAGTTGCATTGGAGTAGGATTCCATCTACATGCACCTGTATCTGTAGCTGTTCTCAGGGGCAGTAATCAACTGCGGGACCCTAAAGGAAGTAAGAGTCTCCCCCAAACCCCTAAAGAGTTTTTGTATTCACCATGTGACCAATGATTCAGTACCTCTTGAGCTCCATGAAAGTGCTCCCTGGAGATACATTAGGTATTTTCTTAGGGTCTCCCTGCAGAGTTCACTGGGTTTCCTAAGGCCAATTCACTATTTCAAAAGATGGTGTAGGAAGCATATGGTGTCATTAAAGGAGAATTCGGAACCAGGGCACAGCCACTTTATACTGGGCTAGACACTCGTAGGAGTATACTCTGTCAGCTCAGACAGAAACCTCACTGCAGGGTCAGGGCTGAGCTGCAGGTGGCGCTCAGGACACATCCAGCACAGGCTCCTGCCCCAGAGCAGGTGCACAGGATAGGAGGCTGCGGAGGGGTTCCTCTCAGGTCCTGGGACTTCCTTGAAAAATATCTAAAGTAAGTATTTCACAAGGACTGCTGATGTTCATATAAATATCCTGTTCAATTGTGAGCACTTATCAAACTGGGATGTTGTAAGGAGAACCATTTTTACAAAGGGGATTTCAAACTGCTAGACGTCTTAATAGTAAGCAGCCGCAAGTCAGGACGAGATCCTTCCTTATAAATAAGTGTCATTTTTGGATAAACACTTATTCCCAAAATAATACATTCACATGTTATGGTCTGGAAATGGTTCAAGATGCCAAGGAGACATTCAAATGTGGGTTCAAAGTAAGGTGCGTGTCTGGGGGAGCTTGTTCTCCAGTGGGGGAAGCTCTGTCAACAGAGTTCAGAGATGTGTTGGGGACACATGGCCTCTAACAGATTTACGGCTTGAACCCTCAGCTTCTAGCAGTTGTGTCGTCCATGTGTCATCTATTTGCTCTTTCTCATACTGGGTCAGGAATTGGGCTATTAAATAGCATCCTTCATGCATATGCAAATAACTGAGGTGAACTTAGATATCTCTAGTGTCCCTGAGAGCATCACCCAACAACCACAGCCTCTCCTTGGGAGAAGCCCCAGAACACAGCTCCTCACCATGGACTGGACCTGGAGGATCCTCTTCCTGGTGGCAGCAGCAACAGGTAAAGGGCAGCCCAGTCCCAGGGCTGAGGGAGAAACCAGGCCAGTCAAGTGAGACTTCACCCATGCCTGTCTCCTCTCCACAGGCGCCCACTCCCAGGTGCAGCTTGTGCAGTCTGGGCCGGAGGTGAAGAAGCCTGGGGCCTCAGTGAAGGTCTCCTGCAAGGCTTCTGGATATGCCTTCAGTACCTATGCTATCAGCTGGGTGAGACAGGCCCCTGGACAAGGGCTTGAGTGGATGGGAGTGATTGTCCCTATGCCTATAGTTGGTAGCACAAAGTATGCACAGAAGTTCCAGGGCAGAGTCACCATTACTGCAGACAGGTCCACAAGCACAGCCTACATGGAGCTGAGCAGCCTGAGATCTGACGACACGGCCGTGTATTACTGTGCGAGAGACACAGTGTGAAAACCACATCCTGAGAGTGTCAGAAACCCCAGAGAGGAGGCAGCGGCACTGAATTTGAGATTACAGGGATTACAGTGTTTAAAGTTGTTTCGAAAATGGGCTAAACATAGGAATATGAGCAATATAAGCATGTATGCACTTTGTATAGGAAATATCTCAATAATCCGATATGTAAAATTTACAGAGTGGTAAAGACAGCAATCAATCAAGCTGATGCAAACA